TAAAGTAAAAAGAGGGAATAATGCAGTTACAAAACTTCCAGATGAAGAGGAAATTAAATAGATTTCAAGAAAAAAAATCAATTAAAACAAACCTGATATGGAGGGTTGCACATTGAGCTGCTAACCACAAGGTCAGAAATTTGAATACACCAGCAGCTCCGTGAGAGAAAGACGAGGCTTTCTGCTTTTAGAAAGATTTACAGCCTCAGAAACCCTATACAGGGTCACTATGAGTTGAAACTGACTTGATGGCACACAACTGCAGCAGCAGTAACCCTAAAAATTAGACTCAAGAGTTATTTCTAGCCCTATCCCAACATTTACCCTTAACACTAATCCTAGTCCTAACCATAATCCTAACAATAAACAAATTCCTTGGCCTACTTTAGACCTATCCATAGTTCCCACCCTCACTCTTTACTCCTCTCCACCCACCCACTCCCCGAAAAAATGATAAAACTAAACCTAAATTGGTGGGTTGGGGGGAAGCTGATCTAACTAAATAAGGAGAGAGAATTTGACACAGTCATACTTGCTGGAAGCAAAAAGGATTTGAAGATAGTTACTGAATAAAGCTCAAAGGCTACAGCCTTCAGTATGGATTGCACCTCACAACTGGACCAATAGCATCAAGATCAATGGAGAAAAGATTGAAGTTAAGAATTAAATTTTGCTTAGCTCCACAATCACCACTCATAGACTCAACAGTCAAGATAACAAACAACATATTACATTGGGTAAATCTGCAAAACACCCCTTTAAAATGGTAGAGAGTGGACTAAGGTGTGCCTGACCCAAACAATAGTATTTTCAATCACCTTATACATGCATGTGAAAGCTGGAAAGTGATTAAGAAAGATGAGAGAATTGATGCATTTGAATAATGGTGTGGGCAAAGAATGTGTCAGAAGAACAAACAATATTATGTTGAAACAAGTACGGCTGAATTGTTCCTGAGAAGTGACAATGGTAAGACTTAGCCTCTCAGATTTTGGTCATGTTGTCAGAAAGAACCAGTCACTGGAGAAGGACATCATACTTGGTAAAGTTGAGGGTCAGCAGAAAAGAGGAAGACCTTCAATGAGATTGATTGATACCCTGGCAGCAACAATGGACTCAAACATAACAGCAGTTTTGAGGATGGTGTCGAAACAGGCAGTGTTTCATCCTGTTGTACATAGGCAACCAACTCCATGGCACCTAGCAACAACTGGAAAGCTAAATACAAAAAGAATTGGAAACCTTATACTCCACTTGGCAAATTTATTTCTCACAGGCAAATCTGAAACAACTTGCACATAGGATAATGTTGAACAAGTAAATATTTTGCAGATAAGGCGAACCAGTTTTCTCTTTCAAAGAATGAAATTACAATTAAGTAAGATCGTAGGCTAGAATGAACTGTGTGGATTAGACTAAGAGACATCCTATGAACTTAGATAGATGGTGGTGGTTCTGTGCCGTGGAGTTGGTTCTGACTCATAGTGACCCTGTACAGGGTTTCCAAGGCTGTAAATCTTTATGGGAGCAGAAAGTCTCATCTTTCTGAACAGCTGGTAGTTTCAAACTGCTGACCTTGTGGTTCGCAGCCCAATTCATAACCACTACGCTACCAGAGCTCCTTTTAGATAGATAGACACAATAAGACTATGTGTTTGAGAGCCGGTCAAAAATATTGCTATTTGGGTTCCAGCTTATATATCTACATGTTTACTGCAAGCAAAACATGTTTAAACATGTCTCTGAAATCAGAGAGACAAGTTCTCTTGGCATAGAGGCATAGTCCTATAGGATCACTATGGGTCAGAATCTATTCAATGGCAAAGGGTTTGGTTTATGTCTAGTCTAATTTTTGTTGTTGTTGTTGTTGTTGTTGTTTTGTTAAGTGCCATCAAGTCATTTCTGACCCATAGCAACCCTGTATAGGGTTTCCACGGAGTGGCTAGTGAGCTTGAACCACTGACCTTGTAGTTCAAACCAACCTTGCAGTCCACAGGGCCTCGCCAGAATGCCTTAGTCTAATTAGCATACATCTTAAAAAGAGGGCCAATCAAAACATGGCTTCTGAGGGGATCTGCTGGGCCAATTCAATTCAAAGCAGAAAGATCAGCTCAGAAGGTTATAGTGACTGGTTTTTTAAATTCCAAAAGGATAATATTGATAAATTATTTCCAGAGACAGAGTATAATCATATAAGCTTATTAAGAAGTTTTAGAAAATGGAAAATTGCACTGGTAAGAAAAAGATCCAGAAAGTTGTGCAAGGAAATTTTTTCTATACTCACAATGCACCTGCTCATTCATCAAGGGTAGCAAAGGCTATACCAGAATTTGACTGGAGAGCCTTACCCCATTCACCATACATCCCTAATTTTGTCCCTTCAGACTTCTGCTTGTTTTCAAAACTCAAAAAACATTTAAAAGGAACATGATTTGAGTTTTGTAAGCATTCTAAAACTGCAGTTTTGATGTAGTGTGACTCAAAAAGTGCTGTATGCTTAGGAGAAGGGTTGTTGCTGTTGAGTGCTGTTGAGTCAGTTCTGACTCTTAGCAACCCTGTATAGAATTTCCAAGAACAGCTGGTGGGTTTGCTACCTCGTGGTTCAGTCCAGTGCTGATCCTACAGGCCACACCAGGAAAGATCTAGAGGAAGGATATGTCAAGAAACAATAGCTTCACATTTTGATATTTTTGTTTAATAAAATGTGCAATGATTGTGTAGCAATACTTTTTGACGGACACTTTTATATATCTGGGTTTATATACATCCATATATTACTAGCCTTGTCTACTAGGAAGGCCTAGAAGCAGTAATAGACTAGCAGCAACAACACACCTGATCTTGATTTCTAATACCACTTGCCAATAATGAAGAGGATTCCTTGGAGTAATGGCTGATGCTAGTGTTGGAACAGCAAAACTGCAAGATGAACCTGGAACATTTTGTAATGCTACAAATAACTGTGGTCCTGAGGGAGTTATCCTTTCTTTCCATAGTTGCCTCATCTCTACAATGGAAATTACAATGGATGGTCAGTAAGATCCATTATTGGGAACTTATTAACCATCCTTTTTTTTTTTTTTTTCTTAAATATTTTATTGTGAATTATGTGATAGTTTACATGGGAGAACATTAGTTTTACATTCATTCTATCATATATCGTCTCATTGCCA